TCCCTTGTAGACCTTGCTCCAGTTGTAGTTCCATCGATTTGTTTGTTTGTACACACAGTTTTATTTGCCTGTTGATATACCCTCTCTCTCAATATTTTTGTCAAAATGAATGGAAAAGCTAAATGTACTAAATGAAAATGTCTTGTATAAGAAGAAAATAAAGACATTTTAACTGGACTAGTAGCTTCATTAACTGTCAAGGAACCTCACAGAATACTAGATAGGGCATGGGAATGACCCATTAGCCAATTTCTCTGCTTGGCGATATTGCTTCCCTCCCCACCCTTGCAGGTCTTCTGTGTTAGTTTTGTAGTGTGAAATAAGGCTTCCATTTGTTTCTGTTGGTAGGCACTGTGGCTGCTTAGAGATGTGAAACCCACCCCCCAGCACTTTAAGCTTGGTGTGCCACATACCAAGTGCAGCACATGCCCAGAAGAGACATTGCATTAGTTTGACCTGGCTTGTCCAATGCCTACATAGATCGCACACTTCAGCGGGGCTTTTTGGTGTTTTTATCTAAGCTGATGGAATTGGCTTTAGATAAAAGTGCCAAAAAGCCCTGCTGAAGTATGCGATTTATACAGATTCTGGGGAGCTGGGTTGAACTTAACACACTTCCTCTTCTCGTAAAGTGCTGGGTTTTTTTGAGGGGGGAGCAGGGTTTGTTGTTTCGATTTCCCCACCCCATGTCTGTCAGCAGCCTGTGTTGGGAAATATTGCTCTGTCAGGAGAATATTACTTATTTATATATATATATTTTCTCTTTGTTAACCTTTTTCCAGGGTTCTAAATCCTCTGTGCATGGTATTTTCTATTTGTTCAATTTATTGAGGGCTTCTATGCATTGCATTTAAGAGTTGACAAAGTAATCTTTGAATATTTAGTTCTTAATCATATCTCTTAAATCAGTCCCTGAAACCCCAGATCATTTTTTGTTACATTATGTTAAATTCCTTCAAATTTGTTGTTTGTTTTCCAGTAGTGTCTTACTTAAACTAAATAGCACCTGCTAGGGCAGGACTGGGCAACCTGCAACACATGTGCCACAAGTGGAACAGACTGCTTTCATGTGTGGCACATGGCAGATTAGGGAGGGGACAAACAACACAGTGACAAATTTAATAGATTTCGTAGATTTCATAGACCTTAGGGTTGGAAGGGACCTTGGAAGATCTTTGAGTCCAGCCCTCTGCCCCAGGGGCAGGAAGTCAGCAGGGGTCATAGGATCCCAGCAAGATAAGCATCCTAATGTCTTTTGAAGGTGTTCAAAGTAGGTGCTTGAACCACCTCTGGCGTCAGTCTATTTCAGACTTTGGGGGCTCGGACAGTAAGGAAGTTCTTCCTTATGTCCGGCCTGAAACGGTCATGGAAGAGTTTGACTGTTTGACCTTGTTATCCCTTGGGCTGCTCTGGTGAACAGATGTTCCCCCAGATCCTGGTGAGCACCCCTTATAAACTTATAGGCAGCCACCAGATCACCCCTGAGCCCGCATAAAATAGATAGGGTTGGGAGCAGAGCAGCAGATCAGGCAGAGAGTATAGGATGGGAAGCAGAAAGCAGAGCAGCATCTTGGTTAGAAAGCAGAGCATTAGATTGTGTAGGGGAAAGGAATGCGAGTGGCATTCAGGGAAAGTGTGGGGCCAACTTGTGGCACATCTCACAAAAAGGTTGGTGCTCGTTGTGTAGGGGTGAAGCTTGTACTAATGTTTTCTTTCTGTCCAGTAGCATAACTAAGGATGGGTGAGAGTGGCACCCATCTCAGGTGCTAAGTTAGGAGAGGTGCTGGAATCACCCAGTCCCTGTAAATTCCATGCTATGGCAGCATTGCAATGCTGGGAACACCAAAACAGTCCCCAGCAGCTGCTGCTTTAAGAGCAAGAAGGTTAGGGGGGTGGAAAGCATGCAAGCTGGTAGCAACAGCTTAGACAGGACAGAGGAGTTCCCAGTGTGGGTAAGAATACTGCCCCAAGCACCTGCCCTGCTCTTGGAACTGTGTTAGGGGTGCACTGATTTAAAGATTTTCTTGGCCAATACCAATAGCCAATTATTAACCAGCCTCATCGGCCAATACCAATCCAATAACTGCCTCACAGGAATGCAGCCCGGCAGCTTGGACAGCAGCATCCTGCTGGTAAGTCTCTGGGAGGAAGAGGGGTGCTGCCCAGCCAGGGTGGTGAACAGGACCCTGGGGCCTGGAGTGGGATCGATCTGTAAGTGGCTCATCCATGGGAGTTGGGAGTGGGGGGTTGCTCCCTGCCATTACATGCACCACTGAGGGAAGCATGGGTGGCATGTGCTTCACACCCCCTGGACAAGCCTCCCACAGTTCCATCCTGCTCCCGGCCCCAGGGTTGCATTCGCTGCCCTGGCTCTACAGCACCTGCCCCTGCCCCACTCCCTCCCTCAGCATGGGAGCCTCAATCTGCCCTGCCATGCCCCTTCCCTCCCCCATGCCCCTTCCTCCCACAGACTTGCCAGCAGGATGCTGCTCTCCAAGCTGCTGGGCTGCATTCCTGGCCACATGCATGTTGTGGCCATGCGAATGCATGTGGCATTTATCGGTGATGTTTTCAGCCCAGAAAAGCTGATAACCAATACTGTTAATTTTTATGTTATCAGTGCCAATCTGATATGTGACCAGTATATCAGTGCATGTCTTGTGTGTGTCCTGTCCTGTCCCATCTCTGACATTTTTGCATAGGACAGCAATTCTGATTATTACACACTTTGTCAACTCAGTGCCATTGTGCACAGTACTGTTGAAATCAGCGAGACAAAATATTTCAGTAAAGTTACATATATCTATAAGTGTTGGCAGAATGAGTGACAAACACTGACTTTTTCCTTGTCAGCAGTCTCTCATAAACTGGTCATATCTATTAATCTAAATACTGTTATTTTATTAATGTATTATTTTTATCATACTGTTTTGGTGAAAGCTGTGAATGAATTACTACTACTATTAGTCTGCTTACTTTCCCAAGCTAAAAACTGCTTTCTGTGTTTTTAGATTTTTGGGATTTTCCTGGCCAGGACACTGATTTCTGATATCGAAGCTGTGAAGGCAGGGAATAATTTCTGAAGATAAAAGCAGGCACCCACTGTGAAGACAAGTATATTTCACTGCTATTAATTGGAAATAAAGGTGAAAGAGACAGACACATGCAGGCCTTGAAGTAGTCCTGGTTTAAAAGCCTTATTTCTATATCATCCGGCTCTTATCCTGCTTCTGCTTTTCTGCCTCAAGTTGGTGCAGAAAGAGATCACTCAGCACCATATCTGTATTTCTTATTTTCCAGCGGAAGACTCGAGCACTAAAATTACATCTTTTTTTATTACTGAAGAGGCAAGATTCCACTAAGAATGAGACACAGACTTTAGCAAGCAGAAATGGAAACTGTTGTAAACTCCTCTCATGACCAACTTTGTTACTATAGGGGCCATTCTGTCTTGACTTCCTGTTATCCCTATAAGAGGTTAGAAATGTTACGTTCACAACTTGAGCGATAACTTCATCTCTTGCATTGTTTGCTATAGTCCTAGAAGCAGGTGTCATAAAGATCTATGAAGATGAGACTGGTAAAATAAGAAAAGATGGTATTGTCAAAATATTGCAACCTATTCTGGAGGCATCAAGCATTTCATTGAATCCTATTTGAATAGAAGGTCAATGCAGTTATGTGGTAAGATAATTAGTAGTCATGATAGTCTTGTTAGAAAATTTGAGAAATCACTAAATAGGTAATAAAACATTGACTGTGCTGAAGCAGGAAATATTTTAGATGACCAGAGGTAATACAGATATTTCAGTTGCAGGAACTTGTGCTTGAAACCAGGGACTGAATAACAGAAGCCATTTTGAAATTGCTTATCTACATGTATTCCTCAAGAACAGAAGAAATTGTAATTGTACATCGATAGCATTATATGTTGGAAACCTTTTTTTTTTTTCAGGACTTGGATGGGTTAGAGTCTCTGTTTCTCCTTCCTGGAAGCTTGTAAATATTTTTTATTTATGGGGGGCGGGGGGGACTTTCTGAATTGCTTATACCTTTTTAACTTTTAAAAGGGTGCTGTCTGCTGGGCTGAGGACATTTCAAAATGCTGTTAATTCTCAGAGATAGCTAGAGATGCTATAGTCCAGATTTAGCCTCTGATCTAATATCTCCCAGACCCAATCTACTGCACATTGTAATTTTTAAAATTCCTTGCTCCCATTTTCTGTGACTCCTGATTGCTAATGGTAGAGCTAAAAAAACCCTTCAGGAACTCAAAACCCTTCGATTCATGGTATTCCTGGCTAGTCAAGAGCTTATGCATTGCATGCAAATCTACTGGGACACTGGACTTGGTAGAATTAGTGTCATTTTTTTAAAACCTTTGAATGCATTTATTTCTTCAGTGAAACACACTGCCTGAGCTACACAAATGCTAAATTCAGTCCCAGTGATGTGGTGCTAAGAACCACATCTTTAGACCTGAAGTCTGCCCCAAAGCAAACTTAACTCTTAAGACGGTGATGCTCCTGCTTCTATCCAGAGTCAGTTAACGCCTTAATTTCTTGAAAATACTGCAAAGCCCACTGAGCTCAAATGGAAAGACTTCTGCTGCCATTTTTAAATGTTGGGATGCTGATCCCCTGGATGAGCTGCACTCAGCTCTAAGGTCCCTGCCCTGGCCCCCGGGTCCCATTTACCGCCCTGGCTGCGCAGCGCATCTAGCCCCTGCCCCTACCCCACTCCCTCCCTCATCTTCGGGGCCTCGAGCTGCCACATCTCTTCCCCTCCACAGACTTACCTGTAGGGCGTTTCTTTCCATGCTTCCCAGCTGCATTCTTGTAAATTGGTTATTAGATCAGTATCGGCCGATATGCTGGGGGAATGATTGGCTATCAGTCGGCCAAGAAAATATCGGTGCACCCCTAAACTTCAGAAAGCTTTGGCACAGGACTGCCACAGTGCTTGCTACAATTGTTATTCTGTTCTCTTAACATGTTCTGTTCAACTTCTGAGTTTAAAAGATGAAGTATTTGGCTAAAACCCCCTTGAAATAGTTGTAGTTGTCAGTTTTTACCACGGGCCATTTACTAACAAATTGTTTATTGCTTGTAAAGATGCCCTATTTTTCAGGGAAAGCAGACTTATTTACAGTGCCTAACCGTGTACATTCTAGAAAAGTTTATATTTTTGTAATTATATTTTGCTACTTATAATCTAAGCTGCCAGAAGGATTTAATCCTATGTTTCTACGGTGTGTTGCTTTCTTAGAATGCCAAGCTTTTGAATATCTCTGAATGAATATCTTAAAATGTTTCCATTACCCAAGTATTAATGAGCAAAATTTCACTACCAAACAGAGCTAACAGTAAGCAACTGTATTCAACCTTTATTTATTGAAGCTAAATGTGGCTGTTTTGACATCCTGTGAAGCATTTCATGGACACGGTATCCTATATTTTGTGTGTGGCTTTCAGTTGAGCTTTTGAAGATTCTTTTTCTGGCCAATAACTGAGACACAACAGGAAAAGGAAGCCTATCTAACAGTGGCTAATTTGCTCATGACAAAAGAATGCCAAAAAATACAGTGTCTACTACTACTCTTTTCTAACACTTGAAGGTAAAATCCCCAGGCATACACTGATTTTTACTTTGTCACAAGAAGAACAGCAGGAGGTAGGAAAAGAAAGCTGGAGAGAAGTCAAGGGAAGCAGTTCAACAGAGCTCTGAAACTGAAGCCTGTGCCACATGCTTACTGTATTTAATGTAGTAGGAACAGCTTCAACCTTGCTGACATCTGCATTTAGCAAGCAGCAGTGTGGCATCTGTAATTATTGCTTTCAGCTCTTGTACTGAGAACGCTGGTTTGCAAGTTCCAAAATCTGAAACTTAAAAGCCACATCAGCTAGTTTATTGTTGTGACCTATAGTAATCTATTGGGGGACCTAAAGTTTGAAAAAAGTGCTTCCTATTCATAAGAGAGTAGTGGTGTCTGGGAAATCAGACAACTGGCATAGTGAACTTGTGAAGACAAGTGAAAACAATTTGTAAGGCATTGACCTGAAAAGCTAATAATACCAGCTGGTGAAAATCAATGCAACTGCAATGAAATTACATGAATGATATCAGTTGAAGGTCTGCTTCAACGTAAGACATGTTCATGGTATCTATATATCTGTAGTTCTCCCCTGTATGCTCAATTTAAAGTTAGTGCCTGACCCCTCCTTTTTATATCCTCTAAGCAAAACATAATTTGTTTGCAGTATAGCTTTTCATGATTAATGTGTTCTGTTGCTTTTGCTACGGTTACCATCAACTAATTGCAACAGTCCTTCAGTTATCTTGTAAATACCTCATTCCTCAATAGTTCATCTCCATTTTGGGATATGGGGGGTTTGGGGTTTTTGTTTTTGTTTTTTTTTAATCTTTTCACTTCTTTCTGATTCTAGGGATCCTTCTTAGGGACCCATTGAACACAACTTCTAATTTTTTTTCCCTCAAAAGCCATTTTAAAGAGCAGTTGTTGTAATCGTGGTTAATATAGGTAAGAAAAGGCAGACATAAGTTGACATGGAAGGACTTTTTCCTACTGTTTCTATTTAAAGGTGTATTATTGCTTCCTTTATGAACTTGCAGTGTCTTCACTGATAACAATTTGGCCTCTGAGTGTGACAGCTTGTGTTTCTGACTAAATTAACATCTAATACTATCTCTAAAGCTCCTAATGAAGAGCAACTCAAAAATTAATTCCACCACCAAGCACTGGCAAAATGATTTTGTGAAGTTGGAAGTTCAGATGTCAATGGTAGTATTCAGATCATCTCTACAACACTACAGTAGAAACGAATTGGAGTGTTTTCATAGCAATGTCAAATGTGAATGATCCAGACTGAGAAGGAGGGGAGTGGAATTGATGTTCAAAAAGAGCATTTCATTTTTGGAAGGTATCAGTTGCTTTTATTTCTATAAAACGGTCTATTTATTTAACTTTTTGCAGTGATATTGGACTTTGGGTCTCATCTTATGTGCTTGGATTTAAACAGCCACACCCTGCCTTTAGTTTAAGATGAGAATAGATTCTTTTAAGCCCCACACTGAATAAGAAACAAGACTAAGGGGCTTCCATAAAGATGCATGCATCTTTTAACAATGTTTTTAGTCCATGGAGGGGGATGGATCAAACTCTGTATCACAGCTGATTTCTTTTCTAACCTTTTTTTTGGTCTAAGTCTTAAAATAAATCGATCTTAAATAAATAAAATTTCCATTTTTTAAATCACTGGAGTTTATTTTTTCTTTTCAGAGTTAAGACTTGTTGAGTCCAATTACTACTAATTTAAGTTATGTTTATTGCTGAGATGTATTGACCAGCACAAATAACTGGGAAGGTGCCTTTTGATGCAGGTGCCCTGGATAAATTTATCTTCAGATGTTCTGAGTTCTTAGATTGCTGAGTGTTATACATGACTTGTCACCCAGGCCTTCTGCATGATATACCGGTATGAAAGGCTGAGTTGAAAGCCTTTGTGAAGAACTCCAAAACAGGACAACTTGATTTCTGCGTGGCTGGGACCTGTAGACAGCATTGGCATGTTGCCCCTAGACTACACATTGCAAGGGTGGTGCCCCCCACTGGTAGCACATACCCCACCTGCCATGTGAACTGTGCCCAGGGTTGTCATCTGTTCTGTAAATGTACAGGAACTCCGTAACTAACCAGGCTGAAAACACCTGTCTGTAAATTCCATAACAAATTTGTGCTATCGGTAAATCAGGAAGCAAAAAACAGCTTTGCAAAATCAGCTCCATGAAAGCACGGATCTTGAAGCTCCATGGCCGGAAAACAAGGTGGTTGCATTATTAAAGCAGTCGGAGTATAGCAGCGCTACCTGGTGGTTGAGTTGAGAGTACAGCACCCTGAAGGCAGCTTTTCTGAGGGCTCTGTGGTACTGGTGCTGCTCCCGATCCTGCTGCCTCCTGTCCGACTTACCTGACATCCAGTAGTGTTAGACAGTGGTCTGTCTTTGGGGGTCTGTTCTGGCTGGCAAATGTGGGGGTAAAGCTGTGGGGAGCTCCTTATTGCAGGAGACAGCACAGTACAGGGTGCATTTGGGGGCACCAAGGTGGGGTGAGTAGGGGACCACTGAGGGGACAGCATGGTGTAAAACTATTACGGCAGTCAAGCAAGGTTACCAATCCAAGCTGCGTTTTTTATTATTATTTTTAAAACCAATGATCTGCAACCTTTGTACTATGGTTTGAACTTGGCAATACTCCAGGGTCTGGCAGAAGGGTTCCATTTACGTTATGTACACACGTCAGTAAAAAAAGTTTGGTCCTCGGTAAAACCTGAGAAGATCATCAGTAAAAAATAAAATAAATTCTTGAATTGGCAACCCTGGCTATGCCAGTCGCCCCCTGGGGTCTTCTCTGCCGCATGGCAGTGGAAGAGGCAACCTGTGGGCCCCAGCAGCAGCATATTAAGTGCTCTTGGGCTGCGTGCAGTCCATAGGCTACTAGTTGGACAGCCCTGCTCCAGGATGCATTATATAGAAACAGTGATATGGACCTTATCTTCACTACAAAGTTTAGGCTACACTGCTGATGTGCTGTGTTAGAAAAACCCTTCTTTTAGCTGGCAGAGCTTGCCTTCTTCACAGAGGGGGACAGCTTCTACGGCTGTCTGGCAACCAGCTGGAGCCATGTGTTGTTGCTCCCATTCCTTCAGCTGGCTGCTGAGTAGAACAACATGAAGCTATACAATATTGGTATGCACACACTGTGGCACTTTGGTTTGGTAGCGGTTGCTGTCTCCAGTTTTGCTGGCAGAGCAGGCAGGTACAGACTAGTGGTTTTCAACCCTCTTAGCCTCAGGGTACATTATGGAAAATGCTAGCTCTTAGTTTTCTATTATTTTTTTTGACTACAGAAAAATAATAGAGCGATCCTTCTGTTGCAAAGACCTCTAGAAAGGCCACAAGACAAAAAGTTTTTGACGCTATGAATTCCTATTAGAAAACTTTGGGTATGTCTTAAGAATCCTGTTTGTGCACCTTACAGTGCTAACATTGTGGGGTACCCTTTGGCATCCCTGGAAGGATCTCACAGCACCCTGATTGAGACTCACTGGCCTAGACAGTCTACATCTGGTCACCCTTAAGATGTGAATAAATTCATATTTATTTGATACAGTTACTACGGCTTTCTAAACTTCTTGTGTCAAATCCCTTTTAAAATGGACAACTTTATAACAATACATATCTCTAGGCTTCTGAGACCTGCTACCTAAAACCTGGATACTTGTAATTTTTTAATCTATTTTTTATATCCAAATATTTTTAAGTTTTGAAATAAATGCCTTATTCCACAGAGGAAAAGTCAAAGTTAAAAATAGAAATGGTTTGGAGTAAAAGTTTTAAAGCACTAACAGAAACTTAAGAAGGCATTTTATTTCATCTCTTAGTGAAAGGCAAGCTATGTAAGCATGTATATTATGTATAGTATAGAATGTACACATTATGCCATATGTCCTTGTTGAGCCTCTATAATTTAAAGTCTTCCATTAAGCTGACACAGTTCTAGTTTCTACTAACAGTCCATTCCAGTGTAATAATCTTCCTTTGCTCAACGCCTTATCAGTGTATCTAGAACGGCTAGCTTTCAGGGTGTCATGTGGCCAACACTTTATATATTTGTACAGAAATATTTGTGCACATATTCAAGAGTCCAGGGACAGATAAACTAACTGAATGTGCCATGCTTTGCTATGTTTGGCTGAAGGAGTAAACTTTTGTGGTCCTGATTCTCTTAGTGTAGTGTATGCTGGAGTTTGCAGCCTGTTGTAGCATGAGTTAATAGAGAATTCTAATTAATTAGCAAGTGTGTTTGAGAAGGTTAGTCTAGATACTGTATTCACCAAACACTTGTATTCAGGTACAAATGTTTGCTTTAACACTGAATCTAGAGGGCACTTTAATTTACATCAGCTTCCCTTGGACTATTCTTGGGCTTTTTCAGAATCTTCAATGATATAGAATATAAAGACTTTCACCCTTGATTTTAATCCCTGGGTCAGGGCTGCTGAGAGAGTGTAAGGTCAGTTATTGCAGCTCTGCAGTGCATCTACTAAGGGTCTCCTTCCACAGGTTGCCACAGAGCAGTTCTGGTCATTCATGTGGCTATAACAGTAAGTGGGATGTAGTATCCCGTGTTACCAACTCTGAATCCTTGCAGAGGCATATAGGAACAGCTTTGTGTGACTCCAGAGAGTGCTCCAGAGCAAGAGCCAGGAAGGCTTAAGCAATATTCCCCACCACACCCTCAAAAAATAAGAGACTTGCAGGAGACTTCCTTCCTCCTATGTCTCACTGAACAAGAGAAACATTGACAAGGGCTTGCTCACAAGCAACTCAGAAGATTCAGGGAGCTACCTCTACAAAAAGCACAAGGGCACCTGCTCAACCTTTTAAAGCACAAAATGAAGACACATAGGCACAATGTTCCCTGAGCTAGGAATCTATCCACCTACCAGCAAGTTTTCTCATAGCACAGGTGTGTGAGACTGATTTATCTGTGGTAATTACTCACCAATACTGTCTCAAAGTACATTGCAAAGCTGATTGAGAGCTTTGGGTAAGGGTTAATATCACGGCTAGCATATCAAATAGGAATGCTCTGGGTTTACTTGCTCACCTGATTTAGATTCATTTTAGTGGCTGCACTCTAGGCTGTCCAGCTGTAAAGCACTTGCACAGTCTATGCTTGTGTTATGTATGAGCAGCACAACATAGTAAGGCGTTGGCTGCACCCTTGTCTCTTCTGTTCATTAGCTGTGACGTGTGTATGGGGGAGAGGGCTTACAGGGTGCTCTGGTTGTGGTGTGCCAGAAAGACTGGAGTAGATGTTCTTGTACATACTTTTTGATGATTGGTTGTCTGGGAACACAAGACTGGACTTCATGGCCTGCGTGGCCTGCTTCCTGTCTTATCTTTGGATAATGGTGAGGTCTACAAAAGTAAATCTATTAATTTAAATATGACTACTTGTGTTAACAGCTGTCCAGTGATAGCAATGGGCTTCCAAAAATGGCCCATATTTATTTTTAGGTTTTTTCTGGCCTTCTCATTTTTTTTGTTTGTTTGTCTAAAGATGTTTCCTATTTTGTTTTCTTTTATACCCAAGAATAACTTCAGGTGGCTGTTCCGGTAAAGCAAAGGATCATAGGCGACTGGTGCCTCTTGAGTCTGGGGGGGGCACCTGCAGAAGCCAGTGTCGGCAGTGGGGACGGGTTTTGTGAGCACCCACAGAAATCGCAGGGCTGGGGCTAGCTAGCATGCACAGAAGCCAGCGGCAGCGGGGGGGTGGCCCTGTCAGGGGGGCATGTGCCCCTCCCTACCAGTCACCTATGCAAAGGATTATGCTAAGAACCAGTGCTCTTTTCTATTAGGTTTGTTCTGACATAGAGGGTGATACAGCTGGTAAATGTGTGCAAGCTGTTATTTTCCTACCGTCCACTGAGTGATTATATGGCTGTACTCAAAAACAGCTTACACTGCACTTACAGAATGATTTGCTTGGAGTGGCTTTGAAATGTATCCCTTCTCATGAGGGCTCTCACAGTGATGCTTGTTAGACGTGAATTAATTGTAAATGTAATGGAATGACTACTGCATTTGGAAAGGTCACAGATTTTGAAAACTTTATTGGAAGCAGAGGTAGTAAATAGGGCGGTGTAAAATTTTGGCAGCCATTTTGTTTCATTTTGGAGGTGTTTTGACCCATTTTGGCACACAAAACACTGAATCCAAAATGAAATGGAACACTCCGGAACATCTCCAAAATGAAACAAAACCATCTGAAATGT